CACACGGGGGAGAAGCCACTTTCCTGTCCTGAGTGAGGGAAATGTTCCTCACTGAAGTCCTGTCTTCCTGTACATCAGGGGTCCCACACAACGCTGGAGGTGTATTAGTGCCTTGAGTGCGGGAAATGTCTTCTAGATGAATGTTGCTGGACATCCCAGCTCTCATGTGGGGAAGAAGCACACCCTGATATACACCTCAGATATACTCCATGGCTGATCTTCATCATGGAAGGAACAGTTGATAAGGAGATGAGAGGCCCCCAAAGACATGGATAAAGTGCAGTAAATGTCGGGGTGCAGAGTGGTCAGTAGATCCTGGAAATGAAGGACACAACTTCAGCCCTTCTTGGGTGTCGGAGTTGCGTTTCCTGATAATGATATAGCGGGTTACAGAGCTAGAAGCCGGGAGAGCCCAGATCTCGTTATCGGGGAACTTTACACAGACAACAAGAACTTCTGAAGTTGATGTCCTTCATTTCAAGGCTCTACAGAACAGTGGTGACCCCGAAGCGTCTCTCTGTCTTCAGTCCATCCTTCTCCCATCCCCCAACAGGAGGGAAGGAGAACTCCGCCCCAAACTAGGGGGGAACTTTCCTCTCATTATTTCCCTTTGCTTCTGTGTGGGTTTGGGTGGTTGGAGGAGTGCGGCACGAGAGGGAACACAGCTTGTTGTTCTATGTCTACATTTAGGGTCTGGGTAGAGGGGATCCACCGGAAAATATTTCTACTCTTTGATTTTGTGCAAATCGTTTCTGTTTTCACTTTGAAGGGCGATATTATGTGTGGTTTGTAAAAGGGATTGGCCCAATAGATACCGCCCCACTTAGAGAATAGATGAACTAATATGACCAGCATTCATTCAGCCATGTCACATGTTGGGATCTTTTCTACAATACTTTGTTATAATAATGGAACACGTTGTGTATTGTATTGTACACCAATAATAATGACTCCGCCCCCACATTCCAGAAAAGGGATCTTCCTGACCAATCGGATTCCTTCCTTTGTTATTTCCTGATTCTATGACTGCAATCTTGTTAGAAGTTAAACTATAATAAGAATTTATTGAGTGAAAAGAATTGTGTGTGTCGGGGCCACGATGGGGATCTTTGGGGCCCAAACATTTCTCACAGGAGACACTTTACAAGCTTTTACAGGTCATCCAGTTTCTGGTTCACCATGAATAATGGCCCAGAGTGCAGGGGTCAGGAGACTACTTCATACAGCCCTGTAAACAACGTGCAGTGGTCAGGAGTATGTGATTTACATCCCAGAGTGCAGTGGTCAGGAGTATGTGATTTCCATCCCAGAGTACAGAGTGTAGTGGTCAGGAGTATGTGATTTACATCCCAGAGTACAGAGTGTAGTGGTCAGGAGTATGTGATTTCCATCCCAGAATACAGAGTGTAGTGGTCAGGAGTATGTGATTTCCATCCCAGAGTACAGAGTGTAGTGGTCAGGAGTATGTGATTTCCATCCCAGAGTACAAAGTGTAGTGGTCAGGAGTATGTGATTTCCATCCCAGAGTGCAGTGGTCAGGAGTATGTGATTTCCATCCCAGAGTACAGAGTGTAGTGGTCAGGAGTATGTGATTTCCATCCCAGAGTACAGAGTGCAGTGGTCAGGAGTATGTGATTTCCATCCCAGAGTACAGAGTGTAGTGGTAAGGAGTATGTGATTACATCCCAGAGTATAGAGTGTAGTGGTCAGGAGTATGTGATTTCCATCCCAGAGTACATAGTGTAGTGGTCAGGAGGAGTATGTGATTTCCATCCCAGAGTACAAAGTGTAGTGGTCAGGAGTATGTGATTTCCATCCCAGAGTGCAGTGGTCAGGAGTATGTGATTTCCATCCCAGAGTACATAGTGTAGTGGTCAGGAGTATGTGATTTCCATCCCAGAGTACAAAGTGTAGTGGTCAGGAGTATGTGATTTCCATCCAGAGTGCAGTGGTCAGGAGTATGTGATTTCCATCCCAGAGTACAGAGTGTAGTGGTCAGGAGTATGTGATTTCCATCCCAGAGTACAGAGTGCAGTGGTCAGGAGTATGTGATTTCCATCCCAGAGTACAGAGTGTAGTGGTAAGGAGTATGTGATTTCCATCCCAGAGTACAGAGTGTAGTGGTCAGGAGTATGTGATTTCCATCCCAGAGTACAGAGTGTAGTGGTCAGGAGTATGTGATTTCCATCCCAGAGTACAGAGTGTAGTGGTCAGGAGTATGTGATTTCCATCCCAGAGTACAGAGTGTAGTGGTCAGGAGTATGTGATTTTCCATCCCAGAGTACAGAGTGCAGTGGTCAGGAGTATGTGATTTCCATCCCAGAGTACAGAGTGTAGTGGTAAGGAGTATGTGATTTCCATCCCAGAGTACAGAGTGTAGTGGTCAGGAGTATGTGATTTCCATCCCAGAGTACAGAGTGCAGTGGTCAGGAGTATGTGATTTCCATCCCAGAGTACAGAGTGTAGTGGTCAGGAGTATGTGATTTACATCCCAGAGTGTAATGGAAAAGTGTATATGATAGTCTTCAAACAGGGTGAAGTAGTCAGAAGTAGTATGTCATGTACAGGGCACAGTGGTAAGTAAGATCATGTCTTACATAGCCCAGCATTTAGATTACTGTGGTCAGGAGTATGTCATACACGGCTCAGCAAAAAGAGTGCAGTGGTCAGGAACATGTCATATACAGCCCTGTGTATAGAGTGCAGTGTTTAGGAACATGTCATATACTGCCCTGTGTATAGAGTGCAGTGGTCAGGAACATGTCATATACAGCCCTGTGTATAGAGTGCAGTGTTCAGGAACATGTCACATACAGCCCTGTGTATAGAGTGCAGTGGTCAGGAACATGTCACATACAGCCTTGTGTATAGAGTGCAGTGGTCAGAAACATGTCACATACAGCCCTGTGTATAGAGTGCAGTGTTCAGGAACATGTCACATACAGCCCTGTGTATAGAGTGCAGTGGTCAGGAACGTGTCATATACAGCCCTGTGTATAGAGTGCAGTGTTCAGGAACATGTCACATACAGCCCTGTGTATAGAGTGCAGTGGTCAGGAACATGTCACATACAGCCTTGTGTACAGAGTGCAGTGGTCAGGAACATGTCACATACAGCCCTGGGGGGTTGGGGGGGGGGTGTGTATAGAGTGCACAGTGGGTAAGATCATGTCTTATATACAGTTGCAAGAAAAAGTATATGAACCCCTTGGGATTACGTGGAGTTTTGCATGAATTGGGCATAAAATGTGCTCTGAACGTCATCTAAGTCACAACAATAGAAGAACACAGTCTGCTGAACATAATACTACACAAACATTAGATGTTGCCATGGTTTAATTGCACATAACATGTAACATGTTAACATTTTTGTTGACACATCTACAATAAGGAAAACATTAAACAAGAATGGAGTACATGGGAGGACACCACGGAGGAAGCCATTCACATACTTTTTCTTGCAACTGTACATAAAGGTACTGATAAGACAGAACGAGTCCAGAGACGGGGAATACAAATAGTGATATCAGGAGAGACTTCAGGAACGTAACATGTCCAGTCTGGAGGAGAGAAGGGAAAGGGGAGACATGACTGAAACCTTTACATACAACAAGGGAGTGAATAAGGTTCAGGAGGGCAGGATTTTCAATATGAAACCAAAATGAAGAACACGGGACATGACCTCCAACTAACTGGAGGAAAGTTCACAACTAATCTCAGAAAGTATTATTTTACTGAAAGAGTAGTTGATGCTTGGAATACATTTCCAGTAGAGGTAGTGAGCCAGAGACAAATCACAGAGACCATCACAATAGTACACAATGAATGGCTATGAATGAAAGCCATTCATTGTGTACAACTGTCATATGATCACTGTGATTGGTCATAGCAATCACATGGTACTGGGCTGGCCTGGTACAATGATTTGTCATCTGGTGGACACAGCAGGTGACATATCAAGATACAGCAGAACCACTAGACTTGGAGGACTTCATATGATGTCCTCCCAGGATGGGAGAGATCCCGCTCAGCTGTCATTCTGCTATAGGCCTGGTGGGAAGCAGTTCATTACAGGGGACACTGTACAGGTTCTATATGTAGTCTCGGGGGTCCCTGTGGAAGTCCATGTGTGGACATTTCTACCTATGATAAATGACAGGCTAAACCCACCTGGAGACTTTCTCCACACCTGGAGTGTGCTGAGTTCTTGGAGAACGTCTACACAGTGTTTCCAGATTGGCTTTATCACCCCAACGAGCTCGCTCCAGTTCATGGATGTCATCATTATGTTTGGAGGATCTCACCAGTCAGGAGCCTTTCCTGTCATCCTACATGTTCCCTTCTGAGGATTGTTCTATCCTTCCAAACAAATGTATGAAATCATGGATGAGTCCTCCTTCTATGTGATCTAGAAGATCTTCAATCACAATGTCTTTATGGATGAAGTGGATGGCCCAGTTTATATATTATTTATTGCTTTACAGCTTTATTCCCTCCAGGATTCATTCTTTATTTATAGAACCATTCAAGGAAGTGTTCTTACTGTGAGAGATCTCCACCACCATTCCTCTGTGACCATTACATCCTTGTCATTTATGTCTAACATCTTCATTATCAGTGGATTGATAGATATTTTTATACTTTAGGATGTATTTCTGCATTTTTTTATACGCAAAATGATCTGTTTTGGAGGTCTCTGTTTTATTATGTATACCTTTGTTTTTATCTTGTGTTCTGTGTCTTTAAGACTTTTCTATCTGTAGTAAAATATCTTTTTTAAACAGTTGGTTGCATAAGAGTGAGGTTTATTGTTTCTTACTTTTTTTCGTTATTTTGGCTCTTCTCTGGTATCTCTATAAGGTAATACAATGCAGGAATGGGTATTAGGGGACGTTTCTCGGGGCTGCAGTTCCTCTGAACTCCACAAGATGGTGATCTCATTTCTCTCCAGACAGGACTTCTCTATGGAATACAGACAGGAAGTGATGTCAGGAACAGAAGAGACGTTACTGGAAGTGGCAGCAGAGGAGGTAATTATTATATTATTATTATTACATGGAGTTTATATAGCGCCAAAGGGTTTGCTCAGCGCTGTACAATAGAGGGGGGACAATACATGAAACAGTACAGCAACTACAAACAGCACACGAGGGGTTCGAGGGCCCTGCTCTTTCCAGCTTACAATCTAGGAGGGAGGGGATAGTGGTACAGGAGGAAGTGGCTGTGGGGGATGGAGTGGTAGGAGGAGTGGAGGAGAACGGCTGTTAGGTGAGGGTGGGGTAGGCTTCCCTGAAGAGGTGGGTTTTCAGGGAGCGCCTGAAGGTGAGGAGGGAAGGTGACAATCTGATGGACTGGGGCAGTGAGTTCCAGAGGATGGGTGAGGACCTGCAGAAGTCTTGCAGTCATGAGTGGGAGGAGACCAGAGAGCAAGATAGGAGGTCCTGTTAGGAGCGAAGGGTACGGGTGGGGTGGTACTTGGGAATCAGGTCGGTGAGGTAGTCAGGGGCAGTGTTGTGAATGGCTTTGTAGGTCAGGGTTAGTAGTTTGAATTTGATGCGTTGGGCAATCGGGAGCCAGTGGAGGGATAGGCAGAGGGGGGTGTAGCCAGTGGAGGGATAGGCAGAGGGGGTGGATCCAGTGGAGGGAATGACAGAGGGGGGTGGCAGAGGTGGAGCAGCTGGTGAGGTGGATGAGTCTGGCTGCTGAGTTCAGGATGGTCTGAAGCGGGGAGAGTTTGCACTGGGGGTAGGCCGGTGAGGAGGGAGTTGCAGTAGTCAAGGCGTGAGATAATCAGGGAGTGTACGAGTAGTTTAGTGGTGTCTGGGGTAAGGAAGGAGCGTATCTTGGCTATGTTCCGGAGGTGGAGCCTGCATGTGTTTGTAAGTGATTTGACATGAGGTTGGAAGGAGAGGATTGAGTCCAGAATGATGCCAAGAACTTTGGTTTGTGGGGCGGGATTGATGGTGGTGTTGTTGGTAGTGATGGATAGGATGGGGGGGCGCGGGCTGGGGGGAAAGACGAGAAGCTCGGTTTTGGAGAGGTTGAGCTTGAGGAAATGGAGCGACATCCAGTCTGAGATGTCGTTTAGGAGGTGAGGAGAATGTGGTGGTGAGGTGAGGGGTGGAGAGGTAGATTTGAGTATCATCAGCATAGAGGTGGTAGTTGAAGCCGTGTGAGTGTATGAGTTTGCCAAGGGAGGAGGTGTAGATGGAGAAGAGAAGGGGTCCAAGGACAGAGTCTTGGGGGACCCCGACAGAGAGGGGGAGGGAAGAGGAGGTGGCACTGTTGTAGGAAACGCTGAAGGAACATCAGGATAGGTAAAAGGAGAACCAGGAGAGAGCAGTGTCTCTGATGCCAAGGGAGAGAAGTTTATTAAGGAGGAGGGGTGTGGTCAACTGTGTCAAAGGCCGTGGAGAGGTCCAGGAGAAGGAGGACAGAGTAGTCGCCTTTGGCGGTTAGCAGGTCATTAGTGATTTTGAGGAGGGCAGTTTCGGTGGAGTGTAGGGGATGGAAGCCGGACTGTAGTGAATCAAGGAGGTTGTTGTCAGTTAGGTGGGTGCTTAGGCAATCGTAGACTAGGCGTTCAAGGAGCTTGGAAGTGAGTGCCCACAGGGAGATGGGTCTGAGGTTGTTTGGGTCAGTGGGGTCCAGGGAGGGCTTTTTGAGTATGGTGGTGATGTGAACATGCTTTAGGGGGGAGGGGAATGCGCCAGTAGAGAGGGAGAGATTGAAGATGTGGGTGAGGGAGCAGATGATGGAGGAGGGGGGGTGAAAGGAGGAGTTGAGAGGGGATAGGGTCCGGGGGGGGCAGGTAGTGAGGCGGGCTTCTGAGAAGACCCTGGTGACTTCCTCAGTGGTAGCAGGGCTGAAGGAGTACATTGTTGGGGGGGTTACGGTAAACGGGGCCTTGGGTGTGGTGGGGGCAGTGCAGTTGTGAGGTCAGAGGAGGGGAGAGATGGGGGGGGGTGATGATGGGGCGGTGATGGGGGGGGCAGGCTAGGTGGGGAGGTAGATTGCGAGTTGACTATGTCCTTACGGATTGTGTCAATCTTGTTGTGGAAATGAGTGGCAATCTCGTGGGCGGTGAGTGAGGTGCTGAGTGGAGGAGGGGGGAGAGAGCAGGGAGTTGAAGGTGAAGAAGAGTCAGCGGGGGCAGGAGGAGAGGGTGTTGATCATGTTTACAAAGTAGGCCTGCTTGGTGGCGTGGAGGGAGGAGGTGTAGGTGAGGAAGGCAGATTTGTAGAGGGAGAATGCATGAGGGGACCTGGTTTTGCGCCATAGTCTCTCCAGCGCATGACTGCGACATTTGAGGCGTTTAGTGTGGTCGGTCTGCCATGGTTGGAGCGGTCTGGGTTTGATGATGCGTGTGGTTAGGGGTGCCAGAGAGTCTAGGGTAGCTGATAGTGAGTCGTTGTACAAGGGTGGTGGCTAGGTCAGGACATGACAGTGGAAGGATGCTGTCGTGTAGGCGGTCGGCAGCCGAGTGGGGGGGGGCCGGGTTCAGGTTGCGGAGGTTGCGGCTGTTGATGGTTTGGGGCTTTGTGGGGGGGAGTTAGGGGAAGGGGAGACTAAGAACATGAGGAGGTGGTGGTCGGAGAGAGAGGGAAGGGGGTGTTAATGAACTGGTTGAGGGTACAGAGGTGGGCGAAGACAAGGTCCAGGGTGTTCCCATTGATGTGGTTGGAGGATGAGTGATTGTATTGTGTGAGTGCGAAGGAGGAGGTTAGGTGGAGGAGATAGGAAGTAGCCGGGTTGTTGTCGTTGATGGGGATATTGAAGTCCCCAAGGATGATGGTCGGTAGCTCAGAGGAGAGGAAGAAGGGAAGCCAGGCAGCGTGGTCATCCAGGAAGCGGGGGTATGGATCCGGAAGGCCTGTAGATCACTGCAATCCTTATGGGGATGGGGGGAGAAGAGTCGGATGCAGTGCGCCTCGAAGGAGGAAAATGATAGAGAGGAGGGTTAGGGAGGACCTGGAAGGTGCTCAGCGGTGATAGGAGCAAGCCAACACCACCACCTCTGCGACCGCTTGGTCTGGGTGAATGGGACCAGATGAGACCTTCATAGGAGAGTGCCGCAGGGGAGGTAGAGTCAGTGGCCTGTACCCAGGTCTCGGTGACCGCTAGGATTTTGAGGGAGCGGGAGATAAAGAGGTCATGGATGGCAGTAAGCTTGTTGCATACTGAGCGGGCGTTCAGGAGTGAAACCAAAAGAAGGGGGTTGGATGCGGGGAGGAGGAGCACAGGTACAAGGTTGAGGGGGTTGCGGTGGCAGGCGGGAGCAGTGGGGTACCTGGCAGGGGTGGGGTGGTGAGGGGCCAGGGTTCGGGGAGATGTCCCCAGCGGATAGGAGAAGGGTGAGGAAGGTGGCATGGGAATGGGAGGTGCAGGAGCGTGTGGTTCTGATAGTTGTGGCACGTGGGTTGACGGGGGGAGTGGAGTAGCAGGAGGAGGTGGTGAGTGCCATAGTGGGGAGAGTGGAGAAGTGAAGGGGCAATGTAGAGCTCTTTTTGGGGGGTAAGCGGGTAGAGGGAGGCGATTTTTGGGATGGAGGAGAGGAATACGAGGAGGAGGAGTGCAGGTGGCATGTTGGGGTGAGCGGAGTGCTGGACAGGTCGGGGGAGGTGACGGGATACAGGTCAGGGCAAGGTGATGTGGAGAGTCTGTATCGCCGTGGAGGAGTCTATTTGAGTCCTTCTGAAGGGGGAGAGTAAGAGGCAGCTGGGTCAGCAGCAGGCTGGTTGCAGTCTGTGGGTGCAGTATGCTGGCGTCCGTGGCTGCTGTGGCGCGTCTTCAGTGGGTACGGTGGTTTGGCAAACGGAGGGGTCATAGGGCGCGTTGTCCGGCGGTGTTGGTAGGCACGGCGTCTGGCGATGCTGGCGGCTCAGTGACTGGAGATGTTGAGGCCAGGCGTCAGGTGCTGAGGGCTCAGCGTTGGGAGGCGCTGAATGTGCTGGAGGGCCTGGCGTCAGGAGGTGTTGAAGGGTCGTCGTCAGGCGGTGGTGTAGACCGATGTCTGGAGGTGGAGTGGGCTAGGTGTAGCTAGGTGCAGTAGGGCTCGGCGTCTGTGGGTGAAGTGAGCAAGTGCATGCGGATGCTGCGGGCAAGCAACTGAGGGTGCTAGGGGTCCGGCGTCTGTGGGAGTGGTAGGGCCTGGTGTTAGTGGGTGCTGTAGGCCGCATGGCAGGCTTGACTCCGCTGGATTGGACAGGGCTCGGCGCTGTGTGGTGGTATGTGCCCAGCCGTGTGGTACCCAGAGAGGAGCAGGGAGACAACTGGAAGTGGAGGTTTACCCTCTCGGTGGCGGTGGGGGCTTACAGTGACATCTCGACTCGCTGGGTGACCTGGAGAGGTCCCTGGTCCGATGCTGGGTGCTGGCTGATGCAGGGTGCTGGGTGGTCCGAAGCAGCCCCTAGGCTGGGGCAGGGTGCTGGGTGCAGGTAGCTGGGTGCCGGTAGCTGGGTGCTGGGTGGCCTGAGGTGTTAGCTGGGTGCCCGTAGCTGGGTGGCCTGAGGTGGTAGCTGGGTGGCAGTAGCTGGGTGCTTGGTGGCCTGAGGTGGACCCAGAGTTGATGGGGAGGGCTCTAGGGAGACGGACAGGTCAGCGGGCTGGGTGGTGGAGCAGAGATCCGTCGTCAGTTTGTGCTGGTTCCTGGTGGCCAGGGATGGACCCAGGGCTGATGGGGGGGCCCTGGGGAGGCTGGCAGGTCAGCGGGGGCCGGAGCAGCGGCAGTCTGGGCCAATGGCTGGCAATTTGGGATGGCCGCGGCAAAAATCGAGGCCACGGCTTCGGGTGCGAAGTGGGTCGCAAGTCTCAGAGCTCCGAGAAAAAGGTCCGGTGGACCTCCCTGGTTGCTGAGCAGGGACCAGAGAGTTGTGGAAGCCCCACCAGGGTCCGCTGTCATCCAGATGGCAGCGGATTGGGGCCAGGGGCGCAGGAGCTCGCTGCTATGCGTCCGGTCCTGCCGCCATCTTGACTTGTTGTAATAAGATGTAATTTCCTATTTATACCCAGTAACCCCCATCATGTCCATTCTCTTCCTCCATAGTCATGTCCGTGCTCTTCCTCCATAGTCATGTCCGTGCTCTTCCTCCATAGTCATGTCCGTGCTCTTCCTCCATAGTCATGTCCGTCCTCTTCCTCCATAGTCACTGTGACGTCTTTTATCTCCAGCAGATGATGATACACATCAATATTTAGAAGCACACAAGGATCGCTACAAGGACGTCATGATGGACAATCAGCCGCCCCTAATTTTTTTTTTGTTATTTTGGCACTTTCCTGGTGTCCCTGTAAGGTAGATACAATGCAGGAATTGTTATTAGGAGACATTTCATGGGGCTGCAGTTTCTCTGAACTCCACAAGATGGTGATCTCATTTCTACTACCCAGACAGGACTTCTCTATGGAATACGGACAGGAAGTGATGTCAGGTACAGACAAGACAAGGAGACCTGTATAGATCACATGATGGCACCAATGGGGATGGAGGAGGACCGGAGTCACATGACTGAGAAGATACTAAACCTCACCCTGGAGATCATCTACCTGCTGACCGGAGAGGTGAGGAGGATTCTGGGAGGTCACATGACATCACTCTTATCTCTATTAATAAACAGAGACCTGACCGGAGAGGTGAGGAGGATTCTGGGAGTCTAACATGATATTCCTATTGGTTCCTCAATACAGAGATTTCCTCTTCTGAAGTCAGGTGATCATATGACCATCACAGTGCCTCCATGTGACTCCCTAAACCCTGAGAGACACAACATGCAGAAGATTCTAGAAGTCACCAAGAAGATGATGGAGCTGCTGACAGGAGAGGTGAGCGGTGCCGGGAATTCTGGGACATTCTCCAGTAACAGACAAGGGATGTGTCTGGATGGTGACTGTATCATTGTGTGTGTCAGGTTCCTATAAGGTGTCAGGGTGTCACTGTCTATTTCTCCATGGAGGAGTGGGAGTATTTAGAAGGACACAAGGATCTCTACAAGGACGTCATGATGGACAATCAGCCGCCCCTCACATCACCGGGTAAGAGGAGACTTTATTGTAAAGGAGAGAGCAGTACGGAGGATCCACCTAGATCCCCCATCATCTGATAAACACATAGAAACAATGGATTCAGTCAGTGTGTGTGTTTCCTACAGATGGATCCAGTCATGGGAACCCACCAGAGAGATGTCCCCGTCCTCTGTATTCCCGGGATTCCACACAGGAAGGTCACACCATCCCTCACCATCATCAGGTAGATGAGGAACAATCACTGATAGTATCATTAGGATCTGTACATTATCTGCATTGTTACCATTGATGACATTTTATTATATATTCAGAGTGGAAACCTGAGAGATCCTAAAGTTGAGATTAAAGCAGAAGAAGAAGAGGCGTATGTGAGGGATGATCAGCAGTCTATGGAGGAGGATGGAATAACGGGGACATTTATAGAGGAGGACACTCCTACAGAGATCAGCACAGGTGGGTCATGAACACTAAATCCATTCCTCCACCCATACTGCTCACTGATTGGTCCAGAGTAGGGCGGGGACTGGGTGATATCAGCCTGTAATCCCCTGGTCACTTTCCTGAGCTGTGTTCCCCGTCCTGTATTCCTGGATTTCTCTCGGATAATCTTCCTTCTCTGTGCTGCAGACACAATTTATGTATCTAGACTGGATTTATGGAGGTTCTGGGGTTCAGCTGGCAGCAAAATGTTGATTCATAAGCTCTGCTCAACCTCTTTTTTGTTCCCCCCATTTCCTACCAGCTGGACATTTTATATCGGATGATGTGATTGGAGCACAGACTTTTACATGGTGATAATAATGTGATAACATCCTCCAACTTTGGACCCTTAAACAGAAAGTGATAATGAGGGAGGAGTCAATACCCCAATGATGGTGGTCTTCAGGATCAGTCCAGTCTTCATCTTGGTTGTTCTCCTCCCCCCCATCCTCACTCTCTGACCTCTGGTGGGGCTCAGCCCCGCTGTTCTTCATGACTAAATCATGGACTAAATAAGGAAGTGCAGTACTTCTTGTGTTGGGAAGATGGCGATGAGTGATAGAGGGGGTGGGGACCCTCGTCCTATAATCCCCTCATCACTGTCCCTCCTATAAAAGACAGTTCTGGTTGTTTCCTCACTCTCTGACTAAGGTCCATGAATAAAGAAATGACCTGGTAGGAGATCAGAGGAGCCATTTCCTAGTTCCCTTGAGGGTGGAATTGTAAGCTCCTCAGAGACCAAGCTGCCTGATGTGGGGAGGAGTCCTGGTTTGGGGGAACCAATCAGCTCCTGTCTAGTAATCCTCTTTGTCTTTGTATTTTAGTCCATGGCCGGGAGATGAGGAAAACCTCCGAGGATTGTCTCACTTTGTCTCCAGACTGGAAAGTAGAAGATGAGGACATCACACAGTATAGTCCAGGAGAAAACCCGGCTCCCTCCAATGTCCATCCGGCACCACCCAGTGTAGATGGACCATCGGATTCCTCGTATCCTGAGGAACCTCAGACTGTGTGCGGGACCGGGCCGGCCTTCCAACAGGGAAGAGCTTCTCCTGTCCTGAGTGCGGGAAGAGGTTCCATTCTAAATCCAAACTTAATGTGCATAAAAGATCTCACACAGGGGGAGAAGCCATATTCCTGTCCTGAGTGCGGGAAATGTTTTTCAGTGAAGTCCAATCTTTACAGACATCAGGGATCCCACACAGGTGGGAAAATATATTCCTGTCTTGAGTGTGAGAAATGTTTTCTACAGAAGTCTGATCTTTACAGACATCAGAGATCTCATACGGGGGAGAAGCCATATTCCTGTCCTGAGTGTGGGAAATGTTTTTCACAGAAGTCCAGTCTTTACACACATCAGAGATCTCACACGGGAGAGAAGCCGTTTTCCTGCCCTGAGTGTGGGAAATGTTTTCCACACAAGTCCCATCTTTACACACATCACAGATCCCACACAGGAGAGAAGCCATATTCCTGTCCTGAGTGCGGGAAATGTTTTTCACGAAGGTCCAGTCTTTACAACCATCAAAGATGTCACATGGGGGAGAAGCCACTTTCCTGTCCTGAGTGAGGGAAATGTTCCTCACTGAAGTCCTGTCTTCCTGTACATCAGGGGTCCCACACAACCCTGGAGGTGTATTAGTGCCTTGAGTGCGGGAAATGTCTTCTAGATGAATGTTGCTGGACATCCCAGCTCTCATGGGGGAAGAAGCACACCCTGATATACACCTCAGATATACTCCATGGCTGATCTTCATCATGGAAGAAACAGTTCATAAGGAGATCAGAGGTCCCCAAAGACATGGATGAAGTGTGGGACCGGGTTGGCCATTGATAGCAGGAGAAGAATAAAAATGTCCTGCCCTGTCATTGGCTGAGTACATTTTGTGGTGGGAAGATTTCACAAACACTTGGAGGTTGGTTTAAAAAAGAAAGAATGAGTTGAACGAATGTGACCGGCGTTCATCCAGCTGTGATGAATATTGGCCGTATTTTATTTCATACTCTAATTTTCTTGGCTCCATCTAGTGGCCATAATGCAGTATTGAGATACTTTTACTGACTGAGGTATTTCATGAATAATACCTCATTATGGTCACTAGATGGAGCTGACAGTCATAGGAAATCAATGTGTTAAATTACGGCCAGAATCTGTAAGGGCTCGATGAATTTGTGTCACATTCGTCCAATTAATTTCTATCAGCTGACCCCTTACTCTCCTTCTTCAGGCATGGATTCATACTAATACACTTCTGACTACAGTAGACATGGAAGGATAGAAGGTGATCTGTATGTAAGTCTTCACCTTGTAATACAACCAGTTCAGGTAAACATAAAAAGAAAGGCAAAGCGTTTTGTGTATAGATAGAAAAAGATTAGAAATACATTGTTCCCCTTTTTATAAGTGATCACATTCCCTCTGATCTCAGCTGTATATGGGAAGGAGAAACAACAGCACAATTGACTTCTGTTTACTGGTCTTCCCAGTGAATGGCTGGCTGAGCAGGGGGGTGTCAGGACAAGTCTTATTATTGGAGGAGAGCAGGCTTTGTTTTCAGCATGGATGGAGAACTGACTACGATAGTGACAGGGAAGCAGAGGGACTGGCAGGATCACCGGGGATCTCACACAAAGGAAGCGATACAGAGAGAACTTTAGATTTTAGATTAGGGACCTTAGATTGTACGCCCCTTGAGGGTTAGGGACTGATGTGAATTGTACAATGTATATAAAGTGCTGCGAAAATTGAGGGCGCTATATAATTACCTATAATATATATGTAAATAACAGGAGACGTCTTCATACCAGGACATGGGACAGCTGGCACAGATCAGGAATAGGACATTGACCCCCCCCAAGCCATTTCTGACACTTTTTGTTTCCATGTAACAATCAGTATTTTTGCTAGAAAATGTCTTTGAACCCGCAGTGCGCATGCGCTGAGCCGGGACAGGTTATGTGCTGACCGCACTCTGCACGTCCTCCACCATCCGAGATAAATGAAGCAAGTGGGGCAGAGGAGGGGTCCTGGAAACAGCAGCACTAGCTGGGGGAACACAAGATGTACAGTCGGTGCTAATGGTGAAAAAGAAGCCCACACAGCAGCCTCAGTCAGACCGCCAGTCCTCTCTTCTGCAGTGGACTCCTCCAGCCAAGATGGCACCGCTGCACAAAGCCACAACACACAGCAGCCCACCACTGCATGTCTGCAAGTGCCCTCTGCATGCGTGTCCTGTATGTTTCCTTGTTGCAAGCTCTTGTTCTGTTCTCGTTGCTCTCCTGGTAACCGACTCGGCTTGGACAAGACTATTCGCTGCTTTAACCCTTTACCTGACCTCCCGTTGCTGAACCCGGCCCGTGACCTGAGTATTCTTTGCCTACCTTTTAGTACTGTCTGCTCCATTGTTATTGACCCGGCCTGTCTGACTACGTTACACGTGTTCCCCATCTAGCTCCCACCAGCTGTACGCCATTGGCGGCAGTCGTTACCGCAGCTGGGGTTACTCGGGGGCTGCGACCTGGTCTCAGGCTGCGTCAAGTCCATCCCCACCATAAGGGGCCCTGGTGAAGGGTAGCCTGGGGCTTAGACTCTGCACCCTGAGGGATTCTGGTTTGTGGGTAGTGGCAGTCGTGGCGTGACTGTACCATAGGCCTGCCTGCCCATTCCATCGTTCCTGCCCTGACAGAGCCCCAGCATAGACGTCACCAGGTGAACAATGACAATTCTATCCATATTCTGCATCACCCGGGGGGGTATTCATAGTGCAGCCTCCCCAGGGTCCTCCATGGACAAAAAATTCCAATTAGAGGTTAATGTCCCACATCTGTGGCTTTTTAAATTGCAATTAGTGGCAGTGTATAAATAGTCAAAAGAGTTTGTTAGCTCTTATGTGGATGCACTGACTAGGCTAGATACTGAGCCATGGAGATCAGAAAAGAACTGTCAAAAGTCCTGCGTAACAAGGTAATGGAACTTTATAAAGATGGCAAAGGGCATAAAAAGATGTCCAAAGCCTTGAATATGCCAATCATCACTTCCACTAAGAAGTAAAAAATTCAGGGACATCTTGATACCAAGCCAAGGTCAGGTAGACCAAGAAAGATTGAAGCCACAATTGCCAGAAGAATTGTTTGGGATACAAAGGGAAACCCGTAGGTAACCACAAGAAAAATCCAGGCTGTTCTGGAAAAAAGACAGTGCGGTTGTTTTGAAGGAGCTCAATATGATGACACTTGAACAAAAATGAGCTGCATGGTGGGGGTGCCAGAAAGAAGCCATTACTGTATCAATGACACAAGATGGCCCAGTTAGGCATTGAAAGGATCTAGATAACTTCCATTTTGTATTATGTACGCCATTTTAAGTATTAAGTTAGCTTTTTTCAGATATATTAGAAGTTTAATGAAACTGTTTTAGTTGCTCAAGGATGTATCAACAGAAGCTAACATGACAATGACAATGTTTTTGTCTGGTTGTTTTTCAGAAAGTTAGCCAAAACAATTTGTACCAAGAAATGTATATGTCATGTTTCATGTAGTCAGCTCATGATGGAAACTTACAATTACAGTTTTAGAACTCGCTCCCCCCCCTTATTATTTTCTGTATCCTATATAATCTTATTAATGTCTAATAAACTTTGAACATCTCTGAACATAAGCTGCCGTTATTTCCGTGTTCAAGGGGTGTTCCCAGAATTCTGCTGATAAACCAGGAATCTCTCCACAGACCGGGGGGTCTCTGAGGGGAAAAGAAAATCATTCCTTTCAGCTGGGGGCTCGTCCGGGATGACCACCCACCTCACTTGGTAAGTAAACCTTTTTTCTTTTATGACCATAAGCTCTTTCTTGCCCTGTGTTGAGGGAAGGTCTTGAATCATTCTGTATTGTCTATATAGACCCGTGATAA